AAACAGGACTGTTGATGGCAAAGTATGAGGATTCGAAACGCTACTTGTCGTTAGAAAAATCATATAACAGCAGGGTTTACTTTTTGCCACCGTAACACTGTCCGACTAGCTGCAGGATCAACCATCAGGGAGGTGAGACAGGAGGTGCTTATCGCAGACAATAGGGTCAAAAGGATGAGGGGACCATAGAGGTCACGAGATCATCACCGAAATGCCGGAGATGCGACCGTGTGGATTGCAGATTTCACCGACAATTTGACAGAGGAACTGCCACGAGCATCACCAGAGACCGCGAAGCCGATCGTCGGGATTGCAAAACGGAGAATATTTGTCAACATTTGGCATTGATTGTTGTAAAGAGTAGGGGACGGAAAATAACTCCAAACATCACTATGTAGAGGATAAAATAATTTAGTATAAAAAGAAGCACCTCAAATACCAGGAGGACACTTTTTGAAGTGCAAAAGTTGTGTGTTCGAGAAGGAGACGGATAACAAGGACTTTATATCTTCCGAATTTATATATTTATGCAATTTTGCTTTGGAAACTGCTACTGTAGACGAAAGCCTAAGTTTGGGGAAATATTATTCCAGAGGCAGTCTTTTTTCGAGGCAGAAAGAGAGAATAGTTAGATGTAGAGCTAAAGGGTGGTAAAATTATCATGTAGGAATTACGAGTGCCATAAGGTCAATCTGCCGGTGTGAGAGCGTTGATCCGTGAGAGATTAGGGCTAGAGTTAACGAAATAAGAAGCTAAGGCCAGCTTCAGGTCTTCTAACCCAAAGAATGGCCGTGTTCACTAACTGACATCTCTCCGTATAAGAAAACTGAGTCGAAGAAAAGAAAATAATTTCGAGCAAAAACTCCCTGCCTATTTCCAAACTTACCGCGGTCAGAGGCATTCATTAAACCAAAAAGGGGACAGCGGTATTATAGAATGGGAAGAACAGACATGCGGTACAATTTAAACTTTTTTCGGGAAGGAGGCTTGGACTGCGCTCTCAGGTGTGACGGCTTTTTCCGAATCACTACTTCAAGACCCTACAAGATCACAGTCGATATTTCTTCACGTGTAGTATCCAGAGAACAGTGAGATTGATCCTTGTTTTAATTACGTCGGCGCGGTGACTTTGAGTCTAGTCCAGTATGTTGTAGGTGGTGTGCCCTCGCAGGTAAGGTGGTGTATTGGTGGTCCCCTTCCTGGTGGCGGTCTCCAGCCCCACCCCCCCCTTGTAGACAGTTGTGAATAACAGTC